TGCTTCGGAAGAGCCCACCAGTGGCCAAGCGGTCTTCGTACCCTGAACACTGGGAGTTCGGTCGTGGGTTCGCTCCTCGCTCGGACGGGCTAGCCACGTGGAATTTTCCGGGTTTTCTCCACGTCTGTAACGCTTAAATAGGGGCCAGTTTCCCTTAAAAACACCTCCCGGATGGCATCCCCTTGGCAAATCGCCCAAGTATTGCGTTGCCATAAGTTAACAAACAGTAAACGGCGGAAGCATCGTTATTGGGTACATCCAATAACAAATCAATTATAGAAAGGGCAGTTTTACAAGTTATTTGAATATTTACGTGAACACACTGCAAAGTTTTTCCAGTATTACCGAATGACAAAAAAAAGTATTGATGAACAAATTATTCCCAACAATTCGTCAAAACTAACATGACGCAACGTGGAGAAAGTCTATACCACCAGACTCAAAACTGCGACTAGTTTATCGCAAGCGTGTGCATGTCCATGCCTGTTTTGATTCATTGGGTAGAGCGACAGTCGCGTCGCAGCGAAAATGGCCATGGGTAAGTATTCTTGTGTAATCAATATTTTAACACCTTTCTCTTATAAAAAAAAAAATGAAAATTGTGTGATTAAAGTTGAAAGAATTCTGAATAATAATTTTATTACAATTTTCATGAATTTAATATAAAAGATAAAATTTAATTATTTTTATTAATGAATCAGGTTTTATACTAGATTGAATTGTAAGCGAATAAGTAATGTATAAAAATATTACATTTTATCATATTAATTTATAGTCTTATCAGATTTATTACTTTCCTGGCTCTGCTATATAACAGAGGGAAAGTATGGCAATTGGTAAAAAAAATGGCTCCCAAGATTTTTATATTTTTGAATCTGGGCCTTGGACCTTGAAATGTCAAGAAATGCAAACAAATTTGTGAGTTTTTTTCTGTGTCATGATTTTGTTCGCCCTCTTTGAAGCTTAACTCCTGCACTTTTTGTCAAAAATTTCTGAAATTTTGCAGGGAGATTTGTATAATAGAGGATTGATGCTATTAAATTTTGGTGGTTATAGATCAACGGTGTGGGAAACTAAAGGGGATTGTGTGTCATATCTCGAGTAGGGTTGGATTTAATGACAATTTTACTTGTTATTAGCATTTATAATCTATATATATAAAAATGAATGTGTGTGTATGTGTGTGTGTGTCCTTCATGCATTACCACACTGTTTATCCGATTGCCGTGAAACTTTGAGAAGTTTTTTAATACACTCCTGCGAAGGTTTCTGGCATTTATCCTTCGATAGATGGCATGCGTTTACACGAGCATTCGAGCAGTGTGTGTTCGATCGATTTCAAATTGTGAAGACCATTTCCCCCCTTCAAAAAAAATATCTCTATATATGCATTTGTGAACTGTTATTTACGATATTTGTAATAATTTTTGTTTGATCACTTTATTTCAACTTTTTTTTGCTAATTACGTATTCACTTGCACTTCATTAAAACCCGAACAACAACCGAAGTTGTAGGAAGAAATTCACGTATTTTACCGATCTAGGTATCCTCCCTTTTCCAAATTTTAATATTGACTCAAAATAATTTAAAAAGACAAATTACAATAAAACGGTTTATTATCCAACTATCAGAAATTTCACAACATGCCAAGGAAGAGAGGAAGGAGCAATTAAATAATTAAAATTATAAAGGATTAAAAAATATATATATAAAAATGGGGAATATCGCACTTCTGACAATTGCTGCAAGTGTATGGGCTAAATTTGGAGAATCCGTGCTTCTCGCATGGACAACTGTATGTGGCCAGCTCATGCATCGGAAAACCTTCTGATTTATTCGTGTACGCACCCGACGGAAAACAAAAAATATTGTGTATCCACAAACACTCCAATAAATAAATAGAATTCAAACAACACTTTGAAATGTTTTCCCGATGAAAATGAATAATAATAATAAGTTTCAATAAAAATGATAAAATGTAACTACACACTAACCGAATGCCGAAAATCTATTGGGCTAGTATAAGGCTAATTATTAAATGAATTACGTAACCAATTTGGCTTTAGAGGTAAGCGTTAGGCACCATCTCTTATTAACATTAATAATTATAAATTAATTAATTAATTTAAATAATTTAGAACCGCTGGGAGAAAAAATTGTTACGTAATTCATTTAATAATTAGCCTTATAATAGCCCAATAGATTTTCGTCATTCGGTTGGTGTGTAACTATATTATATATCGGGTTTAGCGATGTTTGATAAAATGTAAATTGAATTTTTTCATAACGAGTTTGCTTGAATTTCCTGTTCTGAGATTGCAGCAATGCGCGACAGGTAAGCTAGTTTTTTATAAAACCTATACCCTCAAAATTAAGCTTTTTGCCATTTTGTAACAATTAAAAATATGAAGTTTTTTAAATAAAATATCATAACAGATGGTGCCACAGGCAGTTTTAAACATTGCTGGGAAAGTTAGCAACTTGTTACTGAATTTTTTTTAAATGTATAATTTTAATTTTTAAATTTTTTAAATTAAAATTATGCATGAGAATAAAATCTGAAAATATATTTTCAAATTATACTGTTTTTTACTTCAATTTAAAACAAAATCATAATTATTTTAAATATAACTGTTACTATTACAATTGTTACTATATTAATAGCTTTAAGTGTTAATAAAATGAAGCTATAACATAATAATCAATATTACAAAATTGCGTGCAGCCGAGTTCTTAAAATAGCAGTTTATTTTAATTCATATTTACTCTAAAACTTCTCAAGGAGCGTATCTAAGCTTGAAATTTTAAGTTGATTATAATTTTTTATTCAACTTGGCTTTGTCGAGGGCTGCAGAAACAGCATCACAACATCAAGCTCAACTTGAAGCTTCTCTCAATTCATCAATCTTTACTTTCTCATAAAAAATATTTCATCATGCTTGATGGGAGAATTTTCAGTTAGGAATAATTTTTATTACACTCACTGCCAAAAGTTAAGCACGGAGCAGTAAACTGCAAAAAAATCGACAAATACAACTGTGATTGACACAAAATGAGGCAGGAAAGTAGCAAATATGTTTATGCATGAAACAACACAAAGAATTACATAGAAAGATGAAAAAGATGAAATCATATTGGAATCATTAACAAAACAATGTTTAAATCCAAAACAAACAAACAAAACCGACGTTAATAGGGTAAATGGTCACACCTCATCCTTACACAAAGTTTACAGCATGTAACCATGCTTTCCATGAGGTGATCAACCACTCCAGAGTGAAATAAGTGCCATTCCTCCTGTATAGCAGTTTGCAACTCTGAGAGTGGCAGGGGGTGGGAAACGTGCACACACAGCACGGCCAAGGGCATCCCAAAGATTCTCAATGAGATTGAGGTGTGGCGAGTATGCTGGCCAATCCATATGCGTGATTCCCTCACTCAAGGTAGTCATCGACGAGGGCAGCTCTATAGGGTCGTGCGTTATCATCCATTAAAACAAAAGCAGGACAAACTGCTGCAGCATACAATTTCACAAAGGGACTTCATCCTGATACTGGACAGCCATCACAGAACCCCCTCGATAGATGTGCAGGTCGGTGTGATATTCCAACGAAATGCCTGCCCACACCATAATGCTTTCACCTCAGAATGCGTGATGCTCGATGATGTTCTGGGGATGATTGCGTGTGCCTTTTTTTCTCCATACTCTTACATGCTTTTCATCTGGCTCCAGGGAAAATTGCGACTCATCCGTGAACATAATGTTGCCCCAATCAGACACAGTCAAATTTACATGTTGCCAGCACCACTTTAATCGTGTGCCTCTGGATTGGACGGATAGTGGAACACAAACTCGTGGTACTCGGGCATACAGTCCGTTCATGTATAGCCTTCGGTGCACAGTAGTAGCAGATATTGTTTTACCAATGGCTGCTGCAACCATCGATGTCACACGTGTAGAGTTGTTTTTCAATTCTGCTTGGCTAACAGCAATATAGCAATCTTCTTCAGGGATCATAACCCTTGGGCAATCGGCCACAGGTCTTCGGACAACTGTTTGGCTTGTTTGGAATTGTTTCCATAACTGTGAAATGACGGAATGATGAATGCCAAAGAAAAGAGCAACATCTGTGATTGATTGTCCTGCTTCAAGGCGTCCCACACACTGCCAGCGCTCACTGTCTGTCATTCGTCTTCTGGAAGCCATAGAAACATGTCAGTCATGCACAGTAATTATACAACAGTTCTCCACTCTTTTTCTCGGCACTTGCATGCAACTCCTCTCACACTTCAGAAGGCTGGCTTCTTATACGACTGCCTGTTTTGCATATTTCAGGACACATAACCATGATTGATAGTAATGTAACATATTTGCNTGCAACTCCTCTCACACTTCAGAAGGCTGGCTTCTTATACGACTGCCTGTTTTGCATATTTCAGGACACATAACCATGATTGATAGTAATGTAACATATTTGCATACTTCCACCTACCTCTGCAGTGAATTGCAGCCTCTCAAATGTCAATTGCTTTCCAGACATGAACATTTTCTGCTCTGTGCTTAACTTTTGGCAGTGAGTGTATTTTCATTTATAGTTACCATGTGTTAAAATATGGGCTAATCATTAATTTGTTCATTAAACTTGAAATCTTATAAATACACAAATTTTAGAGGAAATTTTTTCCAAAATGTCATATATTTTATATAAACAAGTTAATGCAAGTATGTTGCATACTTGCATTCATTTGTTAAAATTAAATGCAATTCAAAATCATATAAAATTTACTATTAACTTGGTTAAAAATAGCAAAAAAATACCTGGTTCAGATTAGAGTGTACTATGTTTATTTTAAAACTTAATTATTGTTTCAAGTAAAACCAGTGTCATATAAACTCATATATAAATAAAATGAGTAATTATACATAAATAATCAGAAAACAAATGAGAACACCTTTATATATATGATATATAGATTATTACTTTTTTTTTTTTTACAGTTTAAAATCCATTGACTTAATTTGTATGAAGAAGCTTGATAGTAAAGTGAATATCATTCCAATAATAGCTAAAGCTGATACTATTTCCAAAGTAGAATTGCAGAGATTTAAGATCAAGGTATAATTTTTTAAATGTAATGTATTTAATGACATATTAATATTTTATTGGTAAAATATAGCACTTTATAATGGACCTCTATATATAACAGATAACAAGTGAATTAGTTGGCAATGGAGTACAGATATATCAATTTCCAACTGATGATGAAGCTATTTCAGAAATAAATGCTTCTATGAATGTAAATACAATTATAATTTTTCCCCTGTATTATTATTATTATTATTATGCTGTATAAGATTTAGTAACAAAATTGTTTTGTATCCAGGCACACATTCCCTTTGCAGTTGTGGGAAGCACTGATTTTGTTAGAATTGGAAATAAATTAGCACGAGCTCGCCAATATCCTTGGGGTACCGTACAAGGTAATTGCATTTTGATTTAAAAATTAAAAAATATATAATTTTCCTGAATAAATGCTAATTATATTTCAGTGGAAAATGAAAATCACTGTGATTTTGTGAAATTAAGAGAGATGTTGATTCGAACTAATATGGAGGATATGAGGGAACAAACACACATACGCCATTATGAACTGTATAGGAGAATGAGATTAGCTCAGATGGGATTTTCAGATGTAGGTTCAGATAATAAGCCTGTAAGTTTTCTAGAGACATATGAGCAGAAGAGACTGGAGCATTTAGAAGTGAGGACATTTTTGTAATTGTTTCATTTTTTTAACTAAAGGTTAACTTTAAGTTATATTTAATATAATTTAAAAAACTATCATTAAAAGGAACTGCAAAGTAAAGAAAAAGAGATGAGGGAGATGTTTGTAGCCCGTGTTAAGGAAAAAGAAGCTGAATTAAAAGAAGCAGAAAAAGAGGTAATCATCATATGATGAGAATCAGAAATTTTGAGATAAATTTATTAATCTTTTGATATTACAGTTGCATAAAAAATTTGATGCTCTTATGAAAAAACATGCAGAAGAGAAAAGACGGTTAGATGAAGAAAAGAAAAGATTGGAAGATGAAATGAATCAATTTAACAAAAAACGAGCCACTATACAATCTCAAAACTCCCAATTAGCGACCCAGACTTTGGGTAAAAGCAAGAAAAAATAAATTTTCACAACTTTAAGGTAATTATATTGACCAAATTAAAATACTGCATTTTTTTTTTATTAATGTGTTGTTTTTAAATAAATGTTGAAGTACAGTACAAATGAAAATGTCATACGCTTCCATTTTTTCATTCAAGTTAGTCATCTCAATCGTAATTGTTTTTACTATTAATATAATTGTAGTTTTTATATCATTTGTACTTGTGCGCTGCATAAAAAGGTAGTCAAAATGATACTCGCATTGCTTTTGTATTTAATATATTGTGATATATTTAATTGTAATAAATTGTTCAGTAAATTGTTGGGTTTTTTTGGTCATTTCATTTTATTTTTATTACATATTTAAAAATAGTTAATTCCTTTGTAAACCAAACTTATATACTGTATACAGAAACATATTATAAATTGTTTCTGAACAATATAAAGTTGTTGATAATGCTATATCATTTTAACTATAACAAAAATTCTTCTTTGGGCTATGCAGAAAGAATTATAACAATCATTTAATATTACTATAACTTCAGTTATTTTAAAACTAATTATAATTAAATAAATATAGAATGAATTTTAAATTAAAATTTTTAAATATTATTTTGGTGTCTATTTTAAATAAAGTTTCAGTTACCAATTTTTTTTCTTTTACTTGTTGACCCTTTTCCAAAATCAGATGGCTGATGGCCAAGGCACTTATGTCATCAACTTATCACTTTGGGAGACTCAGGTTCAAGCCCAGGAATTTATGGATGGATGGTCTGTTTAGATAAGCCCACAGTAAGGACAATTAGGTCTATCCAAACCCAAGATGAATATGATTAAAAAAGATTAAAGTTTCCAAAGGGCAGAGACAGTGAACAATGAAAAAGTTTATATCAGTATAGAGTCAATGAATTAAATTTAAAATAAACCACAGAGGATGTTTACTCACAGGATGTTTAAAAAAACTTTATAGTAGTAAAGTCAGAAATCATGCTGCGATTTACTTGAATAAAATTATGGAATAATTAGAAATATACACACAGTGGAACCTCGCTTAACGAGCATAATTCGTTCCAGAATCTTACTCGTAATGCGAAACACTCGTTAAGAGATACATTAATTTATATTGGAAAAATTGTAAAATACGATAATGCGTTCCATGCCGAAAAAAAATACTCAAATATTTTATGTATAACGTTTATTCAAAGATAATTATACAATATACATTTGTTAATAAAGAGCTGAATCATCGTCATTTCTTCTAGCGCGGAATGAACCAACCTGAAATGCGAATTCGATTTGAAAAATCACAGATAATATATCTGATAATCACGCTAAACGATATGCCGAATTTTTGGGCTATGCAAAGCCTATAATTAAATATTAATTAAATATTAGAAATTAATTTATTTCTAAAGGCTTTATATAGCCCAAGAATTCGGCATATCGTTTGGCGTGATTATCAGTTAAACATCATTGTTAAATTCACAGATAATAAGTGTCGCTTGTGATCACACACATATAAGACGCGAATTTACTGGCGAGCGATATAGTTCTCGCGCATATCTGACAGGATTTGATATTTATCGCGTCTCGCCAGATATTCTCGCTCGCTCGCGTCTTCATAGTGGCGCACTAAGATGCTAGCGAAACAGACTGATGGAGCATGCGCACAATCCGGAACTTCCCCTCTCTTTACTCGTTAAGCGAGTCGTATTTTTAAAATTTGTTTGCTCGTTATGAGAGGTTTTACTGTATATGTTAATACAAATATAACTGATTACTGGGCAAATTTATGTACAGTACAGTTAGTTTCTTCTTGTCCACAACTACATTGAAAAGAATATACCACTCCTTTTTCTTCTATTATTTCATTACAATTATAACTTTATTTACATATTTATATAGAAATATGAAAAAATCATTTTTTCAGGTATTAAATTTATTTTATTAAATAATAGTTTCTTTACTCTCAAACAATTTAGGAATATAATTTGTTTGACTAAGGTCTCCTCTATTTGCTAGTTCGAAACTACATCAGTATATTAAGTCCTATTAATTAATAAATAAGGTCAAGTATAGACAAGGATAAAAACAGAAATTGAAAAACATCTTATTTTTTCCTTAGAATTCGAATATGAAATAAAAAATTTTGCGTGTTTCTATTTGAAAATATGTTCATTTCGGCGATAGTAACGCCACCTACGAGGATACCGATAGTGCCATATCGTATTATTCGAGATATTTTAGGTGATTGATTAAAATGGTACATCCTATACAATATATTTATATATATTTGTAAATCTTGACTTTAATTTTCACCAAATCAGTATTGTGTTAAAGTGATGCTGAAAACCTTACCTGTTCAGTAATCAAATATGATTTCAAACTAGAAAGTATAGATTTAGCAAATTTCCATTGAATATTGCATATTTTACCCCTTGCGTGCAGTACACAGTAACTTCATTACAGCCAAAAAAAATTGTTTGCAGAATTTGAAAAATTTCCTGTATTTTAAATATTTCGGTTTAGTTATAATTTAATGGCACATTTCAGTAATGGCAATTATCATTACAGTAATTTAAAAAACTTTGTAAGATCTTAAATATATATTTTTTATGATGAAGTACATAAGATCTGTAGGTAATTTATTGAAAATCTTTACACTAATATCAGTTTTATTATACAGAAATCGAGTTATATTTCCGTGGGGCTTATATGCCGATTTCGGAGCATCAGCTTTTCGTTTATGTGTAAAGTCATTAAGACATTTTTCACATTTTCTAAAGATGCTTATGCCCCACAAACATTCATCGGTCATTCTGGTTTCGGGGGAAAAATCGTGAAAGACGCACATACGCATTATTCTCCTTTTCATAAAAATCTACAAGGTGTGCATACTGCGATAGATAAATCGTTGAATTAGAACAGTTTTCCAATTGATGTCATTGAAATTACTTGTGTAATCGCACTTTTGCTTCGGAAGAGCCCACCAGTGGCCAAGCGGTCTTCGTACCCTGAACACTGGGAGTTCGGTCGTGGGTTCGCTCCTCGCTCGGACGGGCTAGCCACGTGGAATTTTCCGGGTTTTCTCCACGTCTGTAACGCTTAAATAGGGGCCAGTTTCCCTTAAAAACACCTCCCGGATGGCATCCCCTTGGCAAATCGCCCAAGTATTGCGTTGCCATAAGTTAACAAACAGTAAACGGCGGAAGCATCGTTATTGGGTACATCCAATAACAAATCAGATTATAGAAAGGGCAGTTTTACAAGTTATTTGAATATTTACGTGAACACACTGCAAAGTTTTTCCAGTATTACCGAATGACAAAAAAAAGTATTGATGAACAAATTATTCCCAACAATTCGTCAAAACTAACATGACGCAACGTGGAGAAAGTCTATACCACCAGACTCAAAACTGCGACTAGTTTATCGCAAGCGTGTGCATGTCCATGCCTGTTTTGATTCATTGGGTAGAGCGACAGTCGCGTCGCAGCGAAAATAGGACCGGCTGTAATTTTTTAATCGCTGCGATTGTTTAGTCGCAAGTGTATGCACTTGTATTGGAAACAATGAGTTTTATTTTTGCAACTGATAAATCGCATGACTAGAAATCGCAAGTGGAGGCCTAGCCTTTTGTACATTGTCTCGCTATAATTGGTGTCTAGAATCTAAATATGCCAGAATATATGCAAAATCAATTTTGGGGGGAGAAATGGCAAAAATAGAGCTGTTCCATTTGATATTTCATAATCGGACTTGTAAGTTATGTAGTGTACAGTACATTTAAAATGTTTACAATACAAAATCATACAAAATTTCGAAATCGTGCTTACCTGGAAGTGCATAAAACGTTGAATATGGTACTGTATGTTTGGGTACTAATAAGAAAGTCAAAGTCAGTGCAGTTTAATAATGGATGACAAACAAGCTGCATGATGTTATATGAAAATGATATTGTCAGACTAACATAATAAGCGCGTTCAGATCTGTTCTATATGGCTTTGTATGGTGGATCACGTGTTATCCGTATTCAATATTTATCTGCAAACGCCAAGACAATACTTCAAACAGCGATCTTCATCTCACTTGTCCCCAAAATGTTTCTCAAAACTCCACATCAGATGCCTACTGAGAATTAACAGGAATCACAGCAGTGTGTTTCATTAGCAGAATCTGTTGCCTCTTTTCACTGTAAACAATAGAACATATTTTGCAGGATAGATGTCAACATTGTATTGGTTGCCCAGGGAGAAAAATGTTTTCTTGTTGATTCTTCGTCAAAACCACTTGCTGTCGGAAATACGGAAGTGCAAATTCTGAGGGGGTCTTCTCTACAGACATCTTTCAATCATACTATTTCCTCTCTCGGCCAAGTAGACGTACTGTTTAATCATATTTTCATGTCAAAATACATGTTTTCAGTGATATAACGTGTTCTGACTTTTTCAGATTGTCATGGTGCTGCCGTACTTTTTTTAATTAGCCCGAAAATTCAACCTGGAACAGAAATGAAAAAGCGATCACTAGAACGTGCAATGTCTCCTCTGTCACTGCTGGAGACGCTTCATTGGCACATCAGGCTGACTGGCGAATCATTTAAATGTTTTTATTTTGCCTGCCTTAGCTATCGGAAAACAATTGCATTTTTGTCACTCCCTCGAGGTCTGTAGGCATCAATGCGTCACGGATCTCTGAAGCAATTTCGCTAAATTTCTTGGCCATCCTCGGTTCAAATGTAGTAAAAAACATTTTTATTTGACCTATTGCTTGGTAAGAACTAAATCTGTACAAATGCACAGTAGTACGTAGTCGGCATATTTTAGTAGACAATTCAGTTTCGACAACAGCAGCAACTTTTCTCACAGTTAAAGACCAAAGATGGCTGAGCGATTAAAATAGCAGTCTACCGCTCTGGCTGATCCGGACGGATCGAGAATATCTAGGAATTTTTCGGCGGTGGTTCGTGCGGATGTGTCGGGCTCCGTACACCATTTGGCCTGGCTGAATGGGCTCGCTAAAAAGACCTTCTTGGTGATCATGTTTAAAAAGATCAATCTTCTTCAAATCTGTTAAGCAAAGCGTAAATTGATTTCACATTTTGTGGACGTTGGGTCTACATGATCAAAATAAACAAAAAGAACAGGCGAGTCGTGCATGTGCTATTCGCATTTTTCACCGGATGTTCGCCCTCTGGTGTTTAAAAACAAAACTATTCTATCTGGGTCGTTTGATTCATTCTTTTTCTATCGCTTTTCATCTTTACTGCTGATAATACATCAGCAGTAAAAATGAAAAGCGATAGAAAAAGCAACGCTTAAGCTTAGTTCACACTAAGCGCGATTCGCTGGCAAAAGCGAAAAACAGAGCGAATAACCCGTCAAACAAGTCATATTTGACCGATTATTTGCTGTTTTTCGCTTTCGCCAGCGAATCGCGCTCAGTGTGAACTAAGCTGTACTGTTGATTCCAAATTGCAATTTCAAAGCCTTACGAGAGCCTGATATAAGTTTTCGTCTATTCCCACACGAAAAACGGATGATTATTCGGAAATTGATCGGTTATATTTATGAGCTCTGAATTCTGATAGAGTGGATTAGACTGTTAAGAATTGGCAGTTTCCCGATTGTCCAGCTTTACACGAACAAGTTATGCTGTCAATTTTAAAACATTTTGTTATAGTTTAAAATGCCAGTAATTTTGTGTAGGACACAGGGCCGGATTTAAGCATTTCGAAGCCCTGAGCTGAACTCAAGGCTCCTTACCAACCCTTCACAATTTTAGAAGTCAATCATAAAAAGAAAAGAATTAAATCAGACTATGACTCTGATTTAATATGGATATTGGAAGAAAAAGACGCGAGGTTTCACTAGTCTTCTGTTTTATAACTAAATTTAATTAAATTTTTATAAAAAAGATCTTATGTTAATTCTTAGAAAAAAATTAATGAAATACTACACAAAATAAACAGTGAAGTGTTTTGTTGGTTTGTAAAAAAATGCTTATTACAAAATCTGACTTCAATTTTCTTTTTTGTACAATGTTTG